ATACTGTCTTGGGTAAAAGTCATATTTGCTGTGAGTAATCTGCATTTGCAAAGCTATCTTCCAAGAATTTACCATCATTCTTGCAAGTTCAGAAACAAGACTTTCTACTGTGAAGCAAAAGAAAAAAGCTCTCTATCCTGTCTCCAGCAACTCACATTAGAACGATTTATTCAAGAGGCAATTAACAGAGGCGGGTGTATTGCCCACTAGAAACAGCCTGCAATCCACCTTTGCAGCTCCCAAACACACACATAGCTTTGCCTTGCAGACCAGTTAAAGAGACAGTTGAGCTTGCTATTGTAAGTGTACAGCCGTGATTTGGCAGGAATCAATAGACAAGGCGATCCTGTCCCCAGCTGTCTCTTTCAGCTGCCATAGTCCGATAGCCCTCAAGAAAATACTCATGATGGTTACCCAGCTGTTGTATCACCACTGGGCTAGGTGTCAAAACAAAAAGTCCCACAGAAGCAACAAGAGATTCTTCTCCTTTGCTAACTCATTTGTTGGACAGCATTATTTTATAAAGCCAGAACCGTAGAGTTAACAGGTTTTAATTATTTCGGTGCTTAAAAATACACAGGTTTAATCTTATTCTGTTAAAGGCATGCTTACAGCCATGAGCTTGCTCTCACCAGTAAAAAGAACAGGACAAGTCCCAGTATCTTACTTCTCCCCGCACCATCTGTTCTGTGCTCTCAGGCTCTCCAAGGTCAAACCGCCTTTAGGGATTCAAATCAGAGATAAGATGGGGATGACATTTCTAATCTTTGTTACACAGGCACAGAATTTATTAGTTTTAGACACAAGGAGCTTCATTTTCAGTATGAGTGAAGTGAACATAGAGCCAAAAAATAAACCATGTTACCTGGTATCTCTGGTAGACCGCACCAGCCAGAATCCCCAGTTTTAAGAGCCAGCATTGCCAAGGGCTGAATAAAGAGATTTTAGACTGTATGTTGGATCTCAGATTCAAGAAGGCAAGATTTCTAAGTGCAAACAACGTGGGTTTTTTTTGTGGTTTTTTTGTTTTGTTTTGTTTGGGTTTTTGGTTGTTTTTTTTTTACCTCAAAAGTAAACACAAAAACTAATAGTGTTCCATTCCTGGCTCTGAGAAACTTTTGGCTGACTTTAAGGGGCAGCGCAGTCAATTCAGAATACCCCCAAGAACAGTTATTAAAATAAACAAAACTGCAGCTAAGGGTTAGTTTTGTCAAATCTCCTTTGCCTACACCCCACAGCACAAAGTGCCAGAGTCCCTGATGGCAGAAGCAGTGCCGTTCCCACTGGTAGCACGATGCAGAAAAACTAAATCGCAGCAAGTCACAATATGCCCTTGGTTCTCCCCACAAACACAGTGCCACTGGTTTTGATGGATTAAATGCAATAAGAATGAGGTCTAGTGGCTTAAAAATAGGTTGGTCCATTTTTTCCAACATGTGATAGGAACACATCATTCTACCACAGCCTGAGCTTGTAAAGGCTGTCACCAGCTGGCCTTCTCCTTGGTCTGAAGGAGAGCATTTTCCTTCCCTCACAAACACAGTCCAACCATACCATAACTCAGGCTGTGCATAAGGAATGATAATTTAGCCAGGAGGGCACAAACCCCTCTAAAGACAGCCCTGACTGTGGTGATCTTCAGGCTGCCTGATTTGTTTCACTAGATTCCTTCATGAAAACTCTACAGCCAACCACCATGACTAAGTAACAGCTGGCAGGGAGGAGGAGCACTTGCCAAACTCAACAACTAGGATGCTTTTCATTGTTTACTGAGATGCCTTATGAAAATAGGTTCCCATTTTCAAAGGAACAGAAAGAATACAGAAGGTAACTCGGGAGAGCACCAGGAGGAAAGAGGCCCCAAGCTTCACTGTAAGCGTTAATATATCCACAGAAGCATCTTCAAAGCTATGAAAGAGGCTACCATGTTATTTGGCCACCTGAAAAACTTTTACAGACTTAGGCTCAGAGGCAGAGTGAGTGAAATACTGAAGGAACCCTTAATTACCCCTTTATAACATATTCTTATTTCATCCCACCAGTACATGCAAAGTTGGGATGAAATCCCACCTTTCAATGCAAGGCAAAGGGATAAGAAGAAAAGTTGGGGCAGCATCATGAGCCAGAATCCAGCATCACAATGAGTGAGAGAGGTGTGCTGGAATGTAGGGTCTGGCTCACAACACCTTAAAGGCAATTTCTTTTCTTCCTTCCCCCCTTACAGGAACACTTCTTGTAATCCCCTTAACATCTTCCAGGGAGTTGCACAGATCCTCACGAAGCAGATGTTAGCTTCACCTTAGGAAGGCAAGACAAAGAGAAAAATAGAGTGAATTTCAGCAGCGAACTACCCAACACTGATATAACCTGTATGGCCCAGGATGAAATAAAAGGTGTTCCAGACGTATACTTCTCAAAAAAGCTACCATGTCTCCTTCTCATCAAGTTTATCACATATTTACTTCGAGGTTCTCTGATGATTTCTGCTCCTCCCCAAGTACATCTTTGCTCTGTGTTCCCTCCGCATGCTGACAATTTTTCTCCCCAGTTTTGCTCCCTTTGAGCTTATTTTGGAGTGGCAAAAGTCAGGAACAAGCATACGGAGCTGCTGTTTAGCTTTACAGTCCTGTAAAAGAATTATAATGGCATGGTTGCTCTTTTGTCTCTTTGAAAAGAGACAGAAAAGGTACCTTTCTGGTAAGTTTTGCTGTGACGAATAAAGTGTCGGAGAAGATGGAGAGCTCCCAGCAAGCCTACTTGTTGCATTTGATGGAGTTCATAACTGTAAACACTGAAAGAATGCCTAATCCAGCCAAAATCCAGGAACACCAACTATGTTGCTTACTGGCCTACAGAAACATATCATTATTGCTTGCCACCGACACTCTCTCCAGGAAGAAAAATACGTTTTTTTTCAGTTGTTAACATTCTATCATTACAGAGACCTCAACTGGAAACCTGCTTCTTGCCAATTCATTTTCCATGAGCTTCAGCAAGTTTCCAAAAAAAACCATATCACCACAAAACAAAAAACTGCAAACAAACAACAAACCTGTACATGAGAAAACTCACTAGCCTACAACGAAGCTGTCACGGAAAAGATGTCTCATGTCAAATTAAAAAACATTTCCCATTCTTAGTATCACAACAGTAAAACTACAGGAAAATATTTAAGGATTGCAAACATATGTAAGAGTCAGATTGCTCCCATTGTTCCTTCACTTAGGAAGCACATTTCTGTGGTTCCTAAGTGTATTTCTATAGATTTGTCCTGCATTTTTGTTAAACCAATAAACTCACGGCAAGCCTACTGCCAATGCAAGAGGAAAGTTCCCGTTTTTTGGGAAATTAAACATCTGAAGACAGTTACAGTTCCCGCAGTGCTCTACTACAGGATCTTTGATTATTTAAGTGCTTTATACGCAGCAGATCAAAGTATCTTGCATCTGCCTCCAGATAGTTCCTACATATAGAAGACAGCACTTAAGCAAAGACAAGCTTATTTATTTAGCCTTGAAGACAGCACAGCAGTCCAGTTCATATCAACAGCATTTTCACACTGCTTCATCCATAACTTAGCTATAAAAACAGTTCGCCATTTTACACACTATTGGATAAAACAGGGATAACTTTCATTCACCTCAGCAGAACAAGATTATAAAGTTCAAGGTCCCACAAGGCCTTTCTGACTGCAACCCCAGGCCCAGAAAAGGCAGAAGCAGCCAGTACTGCAACTGCTCCAGATCCCTGATCTTCCTCCTGCTTGGATGTGCCCTCACAAGCGATGCTAACATGAGTTCTTCTGATTTTATTAAAAGTGTATGTGGTATTCTACAAGCCCTCACTCCTGGAGTCTCCACTTCCAATTACGAAAGGCCCTTCTAACTGCAGAAAAGCCCTTGAAAACACAAAGCAGATGTACTGTAGAGGCTTAATCTAGAAATCACTAAAAAGCACGAAGTATAGTAACACTCAGATGTATGTGATTTTTATCAATTTAATATTTTGGGGTGGTTCCGTCCCTTCAATTTTTTTCCACAAATTTTAAAGGCAAACAGTATTAAATTGCCATGTTCTGAAGACATTTGCAGGAAAGGAGGAGGACTTGAGCCGGAAGAACCAGACAAAGAAAAACTGAAGGAAGCAAAAAATCAAAATAAAGTTTCCACAGTATCTCTTTTCAACTCATCTGAAAGCTGTTTAAAAGTTCCTAAGAGGGTCATTGATGCTCCAAGGTTTTCAAATCTCACTTTGAGCTACAAGTGACTACCCAGTGTTTAAAGCAAAGTAACCTTTCTTACACGTTTTCAGAAAGCATTCCTTAACACATTTTCTGTATGTTTGCATCTTCTCAGAACATGAAAATGATCAAAGGTTACCATGCCATTTTTCTCTATCTTTTTCCCTTCCTTTTAAAGGGATTTTTTAAAGCAACTGATGCTATAAACCACAAGCAGTCTAGTTATTTCACTGCAGTTCGTTATGGATGTTTCTGCATGTGACAAAACTCCCTGCATCATCAGCATCAGAAACAGCCGAAGATCACTCAGGACTGAAACAGCTAAAATATTATCCTTGCAGACTAAGGAATGTGAGCAGGATATCGGATCCTGCAAGTGCCAAACCGCAGGTACCACCATCGTGCCTAGCTTCAGGCAAGGCTCCATTCCCCTCATTCTTGATCCATAAATCCACACAGATATTTTGAATGAAAACATCTGTCTACTGACAATGTATCTGGATGTCAGAACCTGCATGCAGCTATGATGAATGCAGTCACTTCTTCCTCTTGACAATTCCCAAAACCCTTCACTGATGTTCTATTTAGTAAAAGTGGCATCACTAATAACGGAATAAATAGTCTTTCCTATTCAGCAGCTGAATCCTTGCTTCTGTTGGTCTAGAGAAGATTCTGTACACAAAACCAACCAGAAGACTTGACATGGAAACACTAGATATTCCTCTGTGCTATTAGTATTACAAACTTATTTTTGGCTTACCATGGATTCACTGATTAAGAGGAGAAGGAGAGCCTCTTCTACGTTGTCTTGAGGGCAGTATACACTGAAAGACAGAACACATTTTTCTGAAAAAGGTCAAGAGTTATCCTGTCAGCCTCTTTCTCATTTCACAAGAGAAGCAGTAACTTGAAACATCTCGTGCATAATTCATTTGCCAGGCAATACCTTCTTTTGCAGGTTCACACAATTGTAAGCTCTGTAATATATCCTACATGAGCTATATTGAATCATAAATAGATTATTTCCATTTCATAGAAAAGATGACTATTTGGTTGGATTTTCTTCCTGCCTGGGAAAAAAAATAAAACCAAATACCCAAGGTTTAACGCTTTATTTCTCCAGCAGGTCTTTTGATGGGAAGTTGAAAACAAGAACACACAAGACTACCAAATGAATCAGTGACATAATTAGCAGTACCAAAGAGTGTTCAAATGCTCTCCTTCCTCCTGTCAATAAACTGAAATAAAAAAAGAACACTTACTTCTCTTCTGTGTACAGCTCAGGCCTTCGACAAAGAAGATTGCTAACGTAAGACTGATCTTCCTTGTTCATGAACTCAGGAAGCGGATCAGATAAAGGGCTCCAGTAACAGTCTTCACTGAGGGAATGGAGAAGTACTTGGGCTAGCTGTTTGGCTGCAGTCTAGAGATCAATGAACAGTACAGAATGTCAGTGAAGCCTTCTTCAACACAAAAGATTCACCGCTCCCCATGTTTCACCTTGGGAAGAAGATGTACCAACAATATGACAGTACCACTTTTTAGAAAGCTAGAGAAGCTAAAACAGCTGCTAAAAGTCCACAGCAGTGGCACTTTACTCCCTCTTCTGAAAAGGCCAGCCTTCTGCATTTACATGGTCTCGTTGCAATGCTGTAGGAAAAGAGTACCAAAAAGGCCTGATAGCAAGGGATGCTTTGGTGAGTGAAGATGATTGCCACACGGACTGCTGAGACAATCTCAGTCGTTACTCTATCAGACTACGATGGCACTCCGCTGCGTTCTCAGCCTCGGAATTTTGTATGCAAGTCTCAGCCCAGAGGCTACTTCTGTATTAGGTTTGAAAGATCTACCCTTTATCCGTTAATATCACTTTTCCTGCAGCCTTTACTCATCTCAGCACTGCTTCTCTTTGTTGCAATAACGCAGGGAGATGAGAAAAGCGTCAGGAGCTTTATATTGAGACAGTAACATCTCATGTACTTTTTTAACCATCGAGTTGCCAAGGATCCTTAAATACTTGCTTTCTCGTTCATGTGCATAGCTGGCAAGCTGGGCCCAGAAGGAGGCAAGTTAAGTTGACTTTGCAAAACTATCTTTGGCATTTGTCCTTGCCCCGCACCCAACAAATCTCTATTTTTTTGCATTGTAAATAGATGAACATGCAAACAAGCACAGAGACATCAAAATGGGTGGTGTTTTTTACAAATTCTAAACAGCACAGCACTCAGCTGTGAAGTAAATACTGCACAGAACAGAGGCAGGCTGAAACTTCAGCTCTTCTGTACCAATACTTGTAAATATTATTTTGGAACTTCTCTGACTAGTGCATATGTATTTCATACGCAATTTATTCTGAGATGTGTTATGAGGCCACCAGAAGTCATTTTCTTTTAAATACCAGGATACGTATGACTAATAAACTGAAGCATTACTCCACTTGAAGTATGACATCTGTAGGACCAAATAAATCATACTGAAGTTAAAGTTCCTGTTACCAGATTCAGAAAAATAACTTATTTGGATGCAAGGTTGTTTATTTTCATCCACCTCACCACACATGAATTCACAGAATTGGTCTAAAAACACAACCATAGTAGCATGCCCTGTTTCTTAAACACCAAAAAGGGAGGTTTCATAGATGTAACTAGCAAATGGCAAAGTGATCTGAATGTATGACACTGCCTCAAAGAAATATTGTCACATACAACTGCCTGGAAACCCCAAGACCTTCCATGCGGTCCTCCTGACAAGTTACAGAAAGCCTTCTGTTTCTAACTAGGCTTTTCTATGCTTTTTATAGCAAGTAACCATGAGCAAAATAGCCTAGGGCCCTGCGACATTAGCCAGTATCCTTTTATCGTCTCAGTGTGTAATTATTTAGTCAGTTTTACCCTGAGGAGCCAACTCTCCTCTATTTTTTCCTACAGTCTTAGAGGGGAGGGAAAAATAATATGCCAGCAACAGAAAGATCTCTACTGGTTCACAGAGAAGTAGGAGTACAGTTTGTGATAAGCCTTTCAAAAGGCAAGCAACAAATATTTTCAGTGTCTTTGATTTTACCGCACAGTACAGTAGCTGTTTAATTAGCTTCACTCTTGTTTTGAATAAGACCAAACAAACCAGAACAGGCCAAGACTCTGATTTATGTTATTACTGCCTTTGGCTAAATAAAGCATCATTATGCCTGAAGAACACTGTGATCCCACAAATTAGGAAAAAAAATCATGTGTTTCACTTTCATGCTTGAAAAACTTGTTTAATTAAGGCACATCCTTCCCTTTGCCCTCTTGACAGCTCTTTAAAAATAAGTAAGAAAATGAAAATGCAACTTCCAGTAAAATGGAATTCTCAAGAAAAACTATTGGATGAACACCTTCAGATTTCCCCTTAGGGATAAATCCCCCAGGGGTGTTGCACAGCTATCCCCAGTTGCACAGGGACAGGAACATTTGAGTGCCACATTCTGCCATGGTATAGGAACAGCAGATGGTTAGACTCATTTCAGTAAAATGATTAAACAGGTGAGCAAGAAAAATCCCCTGAACTCTGGGACTCCCAATCTGGAAAAGGATGCAACAATTTCAGTGTGGCAACTATTTAAGTCACCTCTTCTAAATCCCTGCACAAACTTCCACATGCATCTGCACTCTCAATTACACATATAAGGTGATCCCAAAGCAATGAGAAAATTAATTTCCAGTACAGAGGTTCCAAAATTTCTGCTCACGCTTTCATTTTAGCTCTGCATTTGCATGTGAGCTAGACACACAGTCAGTCCATTCATTGGAACCTGGCACTCTCCATCTCTGAAATGCTATGCAAACCCATGCCCACTTCCCTTGCCGAACTTCTCTGGAGTTACACAAAACACAAAGCTGAACCAAGCACTAAATGAGTTTATTTGTATCAACATATTTTAGGGCTGCAAAGTTTTCATTCATGTTCTCAAAACTGCTATTCTCCATGCTGTTGACCTTGTCATCTCCTGCGCAACTCAAGGACAAGATCTCTTGAAGGGGAGACAGGGAAGAACTAGTTAAAGGTCTAAGAAGTTAAACAGGCACATAAATAACTTTCTCCATGATTTCTTTACCAGAGGCACTTAGGATAACAGGATGCAGAATGCCACCACCACCAAAAAAAATTAAAACTGACTCTGTACTGTATAGTATTGAAGGGAGTTTTACAAGAAGGACACTGAAGCACTTGAGTCTAAAAAAAGCACTGCTTGTTGCAAGAGTCAGAAGTACTCAGTGCTTCTACATACAAATGTGAAAAGTTGTGCATGCACACACTGAAAAGCAAGAAAGAAAACAAGATATTATCACCTGAGAACAGAACCAAGAAACTAAATACATGCCTAGGACTAGGAAATGCACTGGGAAAAAAAAAAAAAAACACACAACCGAAAGTAACCTACATGCCCAGGTCTGAAGGCTCAAAGGTTTCAATTGGTCAGGTCTTTGAATTAAATGTATCACTTGACATATCACTTCCAAAAGTAAAAGAGAAAGAAAAAAAAGGCAGCAATCAAGTGAGGACAAATATGTTTTTGTCCTACTGCACTGGTTAATAAACAGAGAATTCCTACATAGCAGATTACCCCACCTTCCCATCTCCCATTCCCCTTACCATTTTGAAGGTCTGAGTAGCTTTTGTTTCCACAGTCCGTAGTATTTCTCGCAGACTCCTCATTCCTTTCACAATATTTCTAAGGGGAAGGCAGAAAAAAAACCACACCTCATCACAAAAATAAACACAAGAAAACCAGCACATTGGAGACAAAATATTTTACGATGTGCCAAAGCTTGGCAACAAACTTGACATTCAAACCCGTGAAACAATCACTAATACTGAGTGTGCAGCAGCAAAGCAAGTCACTCTGAGGCACAGACAGGACAATGGCACCGAGCGAGGCAGCGACTATAGCATGCCTACTCCAGATGGCTTCCTAGGAGAAGATCACATTCACATTTGACGAACAGAGGGGACATTTGGAAGCCTTTCATAGCTCGTATTTATAAAGCAGATGCTTCTTCTTAAAAGCATCCACATCTCCTCTTCATACACACAGATTGTACTTGTTTGAATTATATCGAGCTTACGTGACGCTTTTAAATGACGATTCCTTTTAGGTGGTGCTTAAACGCCTTGTGTCTGATGGTCCAGACACATGACGAAATTACAGTGGTTTAAACAGTTTATTATCAGGCAGCTAAGTTGCAGTAACTGTCTGAAAGCACAGCTTAACCTGCAATAAAAGAGGGTTAGGCAGGAGAAAATAAAAAAGAAAAGTCACGTTACTCTGCATATATCATGAGCAATTAAAGCAGACTAGTTGCCAAAAGCCATCTTAATGTGAGCACTAAAAGAGATGTAGAGAGGAAAGATTAAGCACTGGACATACTAGTTAACACATTTGCAGCTTATAAGCTCTTCAAGGCTAAGGACATGGCCCTACCACCACAGTAACTACAAAATGGTTCAGCTCAATTTCTTTGCAGGGTGGAAGCTACCCAAAGAAATACAAGTTACCAGAAAAGTAGCAATGCTGTACTGAAATAAAGACAACTAGATCAGCTGTTGTACTGGTACATTAACTGCCACTTCAGCTTATTCCAGGCGAATCTTCTGCGCAGACAAAACCTAGATTTCATTTAAAAAAAAAGCCATACAGCATAACAACCTTTTCTGTCAATCTGATTAAATTTTGAAAGTAAAGCAGTACAGCTGCACTTGTGCTCGCTTTCATGCACTACAAACATTCCTGCACTCCAGAATCAATGAAAACATTTTAAAAAATATATAAAAGTAATTACTGGGGAGGGACACGGGAAGAATAAAATGTGATCATGTTTACTATGAATATTGGCTACATAAAATGTCACCCTAAAGCTTATGGTCAGCAAGTCACAGAATGCAAATGCACGTGGCCTTACTTCCAATCAATACCCATCTCAATTTTAAACTTGAAGGTAATCTGTAGATTACCTAGTTGTGGGCAATCTACAGACAAGCTAGAAAGCATGGCAAGAGCAAAAACACTGGAGACTTGTCCCTGTGGAGAAAGTCAGATGCTGTCTGTCTTTCTCTTCCACCTTCTCCTAAGTAGAAGATGTGCTTTGAATTTATCAAGAGAAAAAAAGCTCAAGGAAGTTTTTGCAAGTTGGACTTTGGGCCAAGACATCTAGTGCTTTTCTGAGGGTCTAGGAAAGAATATACCCACAAAGATGCAGTTCTGGACCTGAAACTAAGGAAAGCAACAAAGCACGTGGTGGTATTTATGCATGTGAGTAGTCACACCAAATCCAACAGAATTGTTCACATGCTAGTTATTATCAGATGGTCAAAATCAATAAATTCCCCATCTAAACAAAAAGCACCTGCCCAACCACTCTCCTCAGCATTTCCTGTGTTTCCTTGGGACAGAAGAGTTACAGTGTATAACAGTTCTAAAACATTTTCAAAAACTCCTCTTGTTAGGATAAGAGTATTTGTGTAAACAAAGTTTCTATGAATTCCATTAACTAGCATCAAAAAGATTAGTGACCACTTGCAAAGCCAATGAATTTCACATTTGGCACACACTTAAGAGATGAAAAACCTCAAGAATATGCTAAAAAGACAATTTTGCTCCCAGAAAAATCAGAGCACCATTTCAGTTCCACTTTTTAGACAAGGCCATGAACCAAGTTAAGCTTCATGTCAGAAATACCTTGCTCTGGAAGGAAGAGGAGAAGAAAAGGAAGATATTGACACACTGAAGTGAATGAAGGAATAATGGCAAATTGCTGCCCATCTGAAAGTAGTCAGAGTTGAAACTATGAACCACATGACATATGCCTAGGAACACCTCTAACAAAAGGCAGGATTGCAAAACGGGCACCACTTCCCAGACAGGTGCTTTTGTGGTCAGGGTGTCTCAGAGAGCACCTGCTCCATTCTCTGAGCTCTCAACTCTGAAACATGCAAAGCATCTGACAGCAGTACCAGTTTTACAGGGCTGAGGATTTGGTTTGGCAGCTTTTATATTTTGAACTTTATTGAACACTATTGAGCCGTGACAGGAGATAGAGCACACCTGCCAGAAGTCTGCAAACATACCTCACTACAGGAGTTTGTCTTTCCACTCTACTGTTCCAACTCAGAAGGCCATCTAAGCACACATTTCATTTTAAGCATATGAATTGCTCTACTCATAACGATAAGGAACTTACTATTCCATTAATAAATGTCCTTCATATACTAAATACGCACTTGAAGAGATTTATTTTTTTTTTAAATTAGGACTTGAAGAAGTTAACAAAAAGAAAGTTATGTATTTGAACAGAAATAAGCGTATGCATATAAGTGGATGAGGATATAAACAAAGCCTCTAGCAATCCATGGTGAATCCATTTGATCTTGTCTAGATCAGAAACGAAGCAATCATGCCTCCGCAGGACTTGTAGAGAAGACTATCTGGAAATCCCAGGTACTGTTGCCTCAAGTCATGGCACTGTAAGTGAACATCAGATTATGGAAATTAAATGAGCTGGAAGAATCCATGGGCCTCTACTGCACTGCTAAGGTGCCAGAAAAGAAACAAGGAAGAACAGGAAGGAAAAAGTACATGGTCATTACACCACCTTGGTTTTAGCCACAAAATCAGCAAGAGAGACATTTTAACAAAAAAACGATGAAATGTGGTTTAGGATTCAGTTATAACTAATCTAATTAAGAGGAACACAGAAAATCACAGGCACAAACCATGACAAAGAGCACCTCGAGTCCAGTCAGTCCAGCTTAATGTGAAGATCTGTTTTGTACAAGTATCCTGTTAATATAGGGTAATTAATTACCAGTTCACGAATCAAAGCAGTCGTATCACATTTATATCACATTTAGTTAACACGACACAAAATTGTAAGATCCAAGAAAATTAAGAAATACACTGTTTTCTATGCAAATTGCTGGGAAAAATATTGATAACGAATCAGAGTGGACCGTGGGCACAGAGGTCTGCAAAGACAGTCCCCGAACAACATAGGCACAGAAGATCATGTTCTTTTTCTCGCTTGTTAACTGTTAGAACAGTTGGCTGCTAACAGATGAAAGAGATCATCTTGAGGTGGCTACATGGCAGTTTGCAGAGCCACCTCTCCAGGGGAAAGCAGACCTGAAGCACATAAACAGCAGCAACACCATTGCCTCTGCCCAGCTCCTTTTACGTCTTTGCATCTCGCCCAGGTTTCTCAAAACTCACACTCTCTCCTTAAACAGCTGTTCACACAGAAAGACAAAACACACCTGAAGAAGTAAGCCTCGGATTCTCAGATTCTTATGAATGAAGATACAAGATATGCAACTACAACAAAGCACATTAGAGTTTTCTAATGGCAGCCTGTCTAACAGAAGTGGGGCACACAAAAAAACCCAAACACAATATAAAACAAAAGCTTAGCACTTATCTTGATCCTTCCAGTAGGCAGTAAGATTCACTCCTAAACTACCAGCTGAAGTGTCCCAGATAAGGTGCTAGATTGCAAGGTCTGAAGACGAGGTACACAACAAGAAAGCTCACATAAATTACTCAGAAGAGCTAAACAGTCTGGCAAAGGCTGTCCTGCCTGCCTTTGTGTATTAGAGTCTACTGTAAAACAACACACTCATGAAGTTACTCTTTCAAAGTGCCCTTGCAACAGAACCCTACAGAAATTCAAAAAGGGAACTGAGCACTGGAGAAAACTGACTGGAGATGGGGAGAGAAAGAATTGTGTAAGCATTCCCTACTAGGCATTTTCATCAGGGTTTTCCAATGTAATTTGGGTCCTAACTTAAGGGATCATAAGGAAATCCTGTAAGTGCTTATTATTTATTTTTCAGAAATTCATTTTCTTCAGAAGTGTCCCCCACAGAGCTTCCAAAACCAGTCACATCCTCTAGAAAGTTCTGACTTTGTCTTGCCTATGAAACCCCACACATAGTTCAAGTGCCATTAAGAAAGCAGCATAGATATAACCATTAATTCACACAGGTGAAGCCTGTTTGTCATAACAAAATACTACGAGCACCTTGACCAAAGCCTCCATAACAGAATAAAGTAGTAATAACTGTTCAATACTCTGAAAGGAAAGGCCGTAAAAAACAACCTTAATCACACATCCAAATCAGGAAAAACACCCTCAAAACCCAGTGTGGATGCTAACGTGAAAGACAACTGGCTGCCTCCTACAGTACAACAGCATCTGCCTGTACTCTGCATCTGCAGCATCAACATTGCTCACTGGAAGAAGAATAAAAAAGCTTTCTTGGGATGCAGGAGGGCAAACAACTGCAGAAAACGTGTCTTCAGCAACACAATGTGTTTAAGTAAATATCTTGTTAAAAGCATCTGGGACTTCCACAACTGCAAGACATGCTGGTCCTTACAGCTGGTGGCTCAACATCTGAAAGGGAGACCTGGACCTTAGTTTTGTACTGGTGCCTTCTTTCCACCGCACACTGCAAGAGAAAATGGCACTCCTGATCATGCTCCGAGAGGCGCATGCCTGTTCCCACCAGCAGGAACAAAACCATGACAACACCACTCATATCCCTCAGCTCTTCTGCCTGGCGAGACATGAATAAAGCACTCACTATTTCTTTTGCACACACGTGCTGCTGGGGAAGGACATCCCACCTGATAGGACCTACCCCCCTCCACCACCAGCGTGAGCATTCATTATCCAAGGCTAATTTCTTACCTGAACACACTGGAAGCAATAAGGAGAACCAAAGCATTACTTTGAGCTGTTCAATACCAGGTGGAGAAATTTGTTATACACATGAAGCATCCTACAAAGCTTCTTCCCACTTCCCCCCTCCTTCCTTAATACATCCCAATGCTGCTTATGCCCTCTCGTGGCAGAAATCACACATTAATACAGGCTGGGGAGGCAGAGACAAGCTGGGCAGTCCCACAGGACTCCTTTCCTCCCCACTGGACCTCTCATTTCCCTAGCTGATGTTTCACTTGCACTGGAGGAGGTGAGGAGCATACGGGGCTTCACTCCCGTCCCAGCCACGGGAGCTCCATCACACCAACCAGGATGCTTTTTCAACAAGAGACAACTACGGAGAATATTTTGCTGCTATTGCAGCAATTCGGCTTATCAAAGCACTGCTGAATTCACACATCTAGTTTGACTCCAAATTGTTTTCCTGGAGGGTTCTTTGTGGGTTTTTTAAGGCTGTCATTACAATACCGTGGGAAGGAAGCAAGCACAGCCCATAGTAATAGCTAAAACCACCCACTGGATATATTGAACTGATAAAGACTGAATTTAAAACGTTGCTGAATAAAACGAACATGAGTGAGTTTGATATTCTAAAGGTGCCTAGAGGACATCAGTGCCATATGTTCTAAACGAGATTTTATTTTGTTACATAGTCAATGAGCTCACTGGCAAGACCTGAGCTTTTTGTTCCCCACGAGAATGGCAAAAGGCTAAGAAAGTACACGCTGTGGCACAGCTGGTCAACCACCAGCTCACATGGGAAAACCACATACCTGTCCCCTAGTGCTGAGGTGATACTGAGACTACGCCTGCTAAGTCCATTCTTTCTTTACACATAAATTTGTACTCACCTGCCTAAAGGGGTCATTTCACAACATTTACTTTGTGCATTTGTAAGCCTTTGCGTCAAACAAGGCTTATCTGAAGGCACTCCTCATGGATATGCTTACAAGCACAGCTTTGCTGTACATGTAGGCTTTTAATTAAAGAATGAGTAACACAGAGGCTATTCACAATTGCATTTAAAGTCTTTCTTGGGGGGCAAAAACTAGCAAAAGCACCCTAAACAAGAAGCAACCCCTCCAGAGTCAAAAAATGGTATCGGTTTTCTACAGAAGAACTTAAACTGATTTTTGCTGGGGGTTTTGGGCTGGTTTGGGGTTTTGTTGTTTGTTCATTTGTTTTTTTCTAGTTTTCTTCCTTTCAGTCTCCCCTCATTTTTTGCTTTCTTCTCCATTTTACTCAGAAGGAAGAGGAGGAGGAATGAAGAAAATGAGAGAAAATATCTTTGACTAGGGATGAAGGTAAAACAACTAGCCAAAACAAAACACTTTCAAAGATGGTTTGCTTAAAAGAGTTTACAAAATTTTGACCAGCAATACTACATCAAGCAGTCAGAAATTCAGTATCTGATTCTTTGACAACAAATGGGACACAGTGCAAGAATGGGAAGGATGGATTCTTACAAGTACTGTTTACACATGGTGAAGAGACACTCTCCCTACATGGCAATCTCTCCATCAGCTGAACAGAGCTGATAATGTTTTGAAGACACAGCCTGCTTTAGGGAACAATGTGCCCTCATCAACGGCCTTTGGAAGTGGGCATTTACAATGTCTTTTTCACTGTTCTCAAGAAGGTTTTCCTCAGGTGAAATTCACTCTAGGCTTGCAGATACCAACTCCTCTTGCCCTTCCAAGGTTCGCTGGGAGCTACCTGTATTTCAGATGCATAATAAATACCTTGGAGCAGCACTGTTCCCGCATGCATTCTCTCTAGTATAACCACACAGGTTTGATCAGGACATTTAAGACTTTAAATAAACAAACTAATAAATGAAAGAAGTTACCCTTCAGACTTCACTGAGCTCTAAACCAGGTCCTGTGACTGAACATTTCAAAAGCACACAACAGTGTAAATCCCATTCCCTCTTTACAGTGAAACTCACCTCATCTTCACAGGAAACAGCACTGAGTCAAGAAAAATGGTTTTACTCCACCCTACTTGTGGGTCTGGAAAAGCAAGGCTTAGGATTCTAAGAGAGACAGAGACACAAACAGGAGGGAGGGAAAGACACTGAGGGGACCTGAGGTGAGCCAGCAGCAAAAAAGTAACAACAGAACACATACAAAGAAATAAGCCTTCATCTGTTCTGAGCCAAAACATGCAACGTTATCTATTTTTATTAACACCTGCATCCACCTACCCCTTCTTTAAATGAGTCACATAGGCACTCTGTAGAGCTGCTTCCAGGAAGTAGGAAAGTTCAAACTCAGAGTAAGTCACATTGCTGCCCTTGATACTCCTTGAATGTGTGTTGTTTAAGGTCTGTGAGGGGAAGAAAGAGACATCTGGGATTAGGGAACTGTTCGAACTAGTCTCTGGCTCATGAGGAACTGGCACCTCCAACAATAAAGTGTAAGCTTCTGCCATCAGATTCCTCCTTAGACTACTTGAAAACTTACCTTCATTAGCTATTCCAAAACCTTTCATAGTCAACTGAAAAATAAACTAGACAGTGACTTCCATGAAACATTCTACATGTAATGTGCGTTTTGAAACACCATACCTTGTTACTTCCCAATCTTTAATAAACTAAGTAGAAAGCTACACATTAATAGCAAGAGCTTCGGCACACAGATCCAGCAACTTGCACAGAAACATTAATGCAGTGTTTGAGTAAGTATGTCTAGCTTAACATAACATAGGTAAGAGTTAGGAAGAATCTTAGCCTTTCCTCTGTTGCTCCTATCAAACCCTTCTTGCTTTTGCCCCCTTACTGGTAACAAACAGCTTTCATTGCCTAAAGTTGCCCTGTGTGGACAACAAAAGCAGGGTTTTACATCCAGGACTGAAGAAGGCCTATGGACTTTTAGAACATCTATCAGTAATCCTGCATCTTTGTCTCTGTGTCCAGAAGATGAATGAACTACAGTTCAAACTCTTTCTCTTCTTTGCAGACACAAGCTGTCAATAAAAACATTTACAGTGCCCAGTACTTCCACAAAGACAGTACTTAATTTTAAAAAAGAAAGCCATTCAGCTTTTTCTACAAAAAACAGACCAGATAACTTGTCAGCTGGCTTTCTTAATGAGTTTTTATATATGCACTAAGCTTATTTTTTCTTGTTTCAATGCAATTAAAAACAAAACCTGGAACAGACACACACCTTTGCTGCTGAGAAGAGTAGAAATACCTGGTCAGAAGGTCAAAGGCTGTTAAGTTACAGAAGAACAGGTAACATGCATTGCCATCAGTGCTGCTGCTGTCAAGCATAACATGTGGCAAAGGAAGGGCACAGCAGTGTACAGTGTGCCCTGTTAAACTCAGCTAGGCAAATTTACACAGAGAGACACCACTAAATATACGCCCAGCAAATCAATGGCACGTATTACAGCTCAGTGGAGGGCTCAGTACTCATCTTACTCAGCATACTAAACAGTTACTTGCTACTGATGATCTAGGTTCCTCCAGTTTCACGTGGAGGTGAAGCACTGGTAGTTAAACTTCTATGGCTGACCCAAAAAGGTTACTTTTGGCCCATTAAGGATCTCAGTATCCACTACTGTGTGTCATTTACGTGACAGATATGTAAAATGTCTTGAGTTCCTTCACGCTGGCACCTGCTATGCAAAGTTCGTAATCCCTCTTTATTAAGAGATACAACTTGAGATACAACTTGAGCGTATCTTCAGTATTCAGTGTTTGACCACAGGCAAAACTGGTTTCCAGACATTATTCTCAGAGGAAACAGGAAGAGACCAGATAAACTGCTGGTTTGCAACTGCTTATACTGAGACATCTCACTCCTTCCAACTTGTTCTCATACTCCTTATTGTCTATGATCACTTAGCATTTCCCCATCATTTTTGCTGTCAAACCCCTGGAATTTCCACTTAGGCAACCAGGTAACACCCTGAGCACATTTCTTCTTACCTTTTCAAGATCCTGCAGGTACACCTGGGTAATGACACATGCTGTCTCAAAACAAGCCGTGACTTCTTCCTCTCTTTCACACAACCGAGCACGTGAGACGATTGAGTTGGTTGAGCGCTCCAGTGAGAGACCTGTAAAACGGCAACACCTTCTTTAACTGGAGCCCAACAGCAGCAATACGGCCATGTTATTCCTTCATTTACCAGCTGACAGGGAAGTCTTTCTGTAAGTGGGTTTCTCCCTTGTTTTAGTGACTTTCAGGAAAATATCCCCAGGAAAATATAATTCCTACACATGCAAGGCATTTTTGTCATGCTGCTCTAACACAGTGCCACCGCACACTTCTACAGTTCTACAGTGCCTTGCAAACACTTTATGAAGAAAGGACATACAATGCCTCTGGTAGGGATGAGCAAGCAGAGAAATTAAGGCCTATATTTCTAAAGATGGCTATAGATTTTGGCTGCTTCAATGCAAATGCTGTTTCAGAAACACCCTGGCACTGGATTTGAGAATTTCTAAGCATCCACTATTTCAAGTGAAGCTTTCAATAAGCAGCAGTTTTGAGGGGGAAAAAAAAACTGGAAAACGATACCAAAACAAAGTCGGAAAAACTGAGGCCTCTCTTGGAAAATCTGAGCACATGCAAATCGCACATGGACACACAGCAAGCTCTTGGCAAGGTACAAGAGACTCTTAATCACAACATCACCCTCTTTTCTAAAGAAAGGAAAACCCCTGGGTTTTGTACTACTAAAACTCTCTTGTATCATCATCGAACCCCACTTAGAAAAATGAGCATGTGAATTGAAGATCTACAGCTGTTGTCCCTACATGAAAATCTTTTATTATCAGGTCCTTGTCTGGCATCACACGATGACATCCCTTAGATCTCTAAATCTACTGGGAAAGGCTACACATCCACATACCAATTTTAGTCTGATCAGTGTAGATTCTTATGCCACACTGGATCTCCAGAATACACCACTGCTTGGAAACTCAGATCTGCTACACGAAACACAACTGCACAGATGCCCAGTAGCAAAACACAGGTTGTAAAAAGTTCAGTACATGCTTTCCAATAAATTTTACATATAACAACACACTCTAATACCAATGAAAAACACCTAAGATATAGAATCATAGAATCATCTGGTTGGAAGAGATCCTCAAGATCATCGAGTCCAACCACTCACCCTGCACTATAACATATATTTCATGTAACATGAAACACTAGTGTTCTTGACACAGATCCACAGAGGTGACGAAAGAAGAAAGAGTTCAGCTGTCCAGATAGCCTCTCCAAGGAAGCTGCTTAGACTGCTGCAGCATACAGCAACGGGTTCTGCTCCACGTGAGAAACCACTGTGAGTACCAGGAGCCATGCTTTCCTGGACTCACTTCAGGAGTCTGACAACAAATCACTGTGAGACAGCAATAAGGAGCCAGGTTTCCCCATGATGAACGATGCAGTATGAGCTCTCACACCAGAGGAGCCTGAGGTTCCTAGGCAGTCTTAGCTTTGTTTACTACTCATGTTCAACGTTCCTGTTTTGTCCCCTTGGTTACTCCGCTAGGAGTTTCCCTATCTCACGTCTCATATTTGAGCCAGACAAGCAGTTAGTTCAGTGGGTTAAGAAGAGAAGATGCCCCAGGGGTGCAAGCTCGGGAGGCGGCTCCCAACTCCTTTTGCCCTCTCCAAAGTCAGACTCACATGGCACTTTCCCTCAAGGACCTATATCCTGGAGAAACACACATTAGTACCTTTCACTTTTGAAAATCCTGACCAGAGTAGAGCAAGGGAAGTGGATTCACTTCAAACTGACAGTGTGGGGGGGAACTGAGACGATGATCATTTTGCTACTTTCAACTAACACCCATTCTGTGTTCTCTCCTTCCTACTGACATACACCTCGTACAGCATCCAACATGTAACAGATTTTGTCTTCTACTCCATCTATGAAGTCTCCAGCTTTATATCACAGATTGTTTTCCTGTTACTTCAAAGCTCCTATTTCTTAACTCTGTTGCTATGTAAGGAAGAGGAAAAGAGAATGTTAACTCTCTTTATGGAAACCGTTCAGAGCTGAAGCTAGAATAATCAACCTGCAAATATTCTTCTCAGATCTGTCTCAGTTTTAGCTACCTCTGAACTTCTAGTCATTCCCCTTAATTGAAAAAGAAATTTTAAGAAGAGTTGCATTTCAGAGTCATCATCCCCTTAAGTGCAAAGTCAGGCTGAGAGCCCTGAAAGAAATCCAGTACAATCCACTGACATTCATACACATGCAGCATTTGATCTAACTGAAAGAGCCATCCTAGCACAGTCTGTACAGGCGTGGTTATTGCAGGAGATCTCACACAGAAAGAGCAGGCTGATAAAAAGCCATTTACATGCACGTTACGGCCCACTGCAAGGAGCTGCCATCTCTAAGCCCTGACATAGGGGAGGAAAGCAAGCAGCCTTTGCCAGCACCAAGTACTGACAACAAACATGCCCATCCATGCAGTCAGAAGAACAGAGCTGGGGATGATCAGAGACATGGGAACGAACATATCCAAAAAGGTTTCTTGCCACAGTAAGTACAGAGCAATATACAGTGTATTAAGAGAGATACTACGCTACGTTGCACGCATTTTTCTACTAGCAAAGGGAAAGAAGGAAAAACGACCCACATGATGTGACATGAGTTATGGTTCTTTCTGCTAATATCACATGCACTGACCTGATGTCAGAGAATTACATATTCTGCAGAATCCAAACAGGGCTATTCTTCCCTACCAAAGAAATGCAGGGAAAAGATAACTCAGAGCAAGTAGACTGAAAATCCAGTAGACAGAGTGAAGAGCAGAAAAATAACAAAAGTTCCTTACTCTTGCAGCCACCAATTCAGTTCTTGCAGTGCAAAGCCCCAACAATTACAGATTTGCTCAAGGTGCAGTTGCACAAGACTGTTTACAAGCTCTTCAGTCCAGAGAGCACGAATTCTACTAACTCTTTTCCATCTCCCAGTTATCAGCACAGAAAAACTTTGCAGCAGAATGTACATTTTGAATTCAACTCAGTTCCCAAAAAGTGTCAGAAAGCCACGAAAAGTGCACACTACTTCCATGTTGGATTTAGCAAGGAAAGTGTAGCTCTTCCTAAGACAGAAATATCTTTTGAGTAAAGCATAAAGCCATATGCTTTCTTGGTAGCTGGTTAAGGTAAAGGGACTGAGGTATTTTTCACAACCAGTTACGGTCAGATATACCAACTTAGAATTTATCTACGCCAGGATTTTTCTCATATGACTCACGTGTCCAAATTTAAATATATACATATACAACCATAAGAACATTTTATATAGTGAAGATACAGATTTCTAATAAGAGTATGGCCCACGCTCAAGATTTAAAGAGAGACATGCTTTGAGATTATCCTTTTTAAAAGGCCAAACACTTTCTACCCACTTCAGAGGCAGTAACTTTATTATTTAGAAATATTGCTTTTCTTTCCTGCATAAATATAAGGCTTCTATTCACCTCTTCTATTTCTCCCAAAGATTCACCCCTGGCTCTTGATCTCTCTAATCTTTGCCCCTTCTCTCCTTCTAAAGCTAATCTGCATTTATGTCAGGAAAAAAACAAATCCACGACGTTTTTAAGAGGTGTCACTAAACTAATTTCTTCCTAGAGCTGAAACGCACTGTTCTCATTTATGGAGAACTGAAAGGGGAGATTTTATGAAGGCTTATTTCCACTTTCATCTCACTCAGTCCTTGCCAACGTATCGTGTAGCTCCCATGCTCCAAGGTGATGTTAATGCCAGAACTGGAAAACACATGTGCACATAGACATGCAGTATCAGATTCTGCAACAAAAATGAGATAAAAATTCATACTGGAAGGGATCCTAGGAGGTTCATGGTCCAGCTTTCTGCTCAAAACAGGGCCAGCCCAGGGCATTACCCAGCCTGGTCTTGAAAGCACCTAGATGGAGACTGCACAATCGCTAGGGAGAAGGGGAAGCTAAAGTGGCTTTCATTCTTTTCCTCTAGTTCATAAACTGGTTCAACAAACGATCATTCCTTCTTCTCAGTAGGAAGGATAATACCAATCCACTCACAGGATCTTTTCATTTTCCTTTTTACATAGACTTCTGGCCTCCTGTATTTGGATGAATTTACACAACTGGGGAACAGTGGTTTCATAGGTGCAAGAACTCAAGGTCAGCAGCAACACACTATCACCAAGAGTGTTAGCCCGCAGCTGCTGAAACCCCACAGCCCAGGAGTACCAGAGCTACCTGGCAATCTAAGCAAGGAATCCAAGAAATGCAACAGCACACAGAGTGTGAAGCCTGCCTCTTGTGATGTGTCCTGGTGCTACACTCGTGTTGAACACAGCTATAGCAACCTGAAGCAAAAGACAGCTTAGGGTGGAACTTACAGCACTGCACCAACACCGTCCCCAGCCTCAGAGCAAGGTTACAGGACATCCTGGCCAGAAGCCAGCGTGCTGCTAAGCTAAGCGCATGCAGTAGTTTTACTCCAGCTACCAGAAAATAAGTAATTTGTTTTGAGGTAAGCTGGGTGTGCACAAATTGCATGGCAACTGCTGCAAGGAAACTGGTTCACGCACGTTGTCACTCTGTGGCAAATGCCAGGTCGTTCTGGGTAGCTGTCACGGAGGGGAGGGTGCACTTTGTTTCTAGCTTGCAGCCTTCAGCCTAGTTCAGAAGCATGGCTATAGAAAAATCAATTAGTGTTGAAATAAGACTATTTTTAAGACTAGCTCTTCAAACATTTACATATGCATGCTGAATAATCAGAGTTCAGGAGAATACTAAACACTTTTGAAAGACAAAATTCAAAAGCACAACTAAACGTGTTACAACCAAACCTCAGCTGGTGGGGCAGGCTGAACTTAAGAGCATAGCCCTCAATCAGCATATTACATTACAGTGTCTTGGAAAGCAAAACAGCCTCGTTCTTGTTGAGGCCATTTGGCTTGTTGAGTCAGAGCAGCAGTCAGGATCAGGTTGGCATAGGCAAGACCCAGGACCATGCATTATTTCTGCCACAATTCACAGCAGTTTAAGTAATTCACATCATGGGTCTTGACAC